GCGGTACATTCCTCCACCACGACCTTCTGCTGACGAGGCGTACGCTTGCAGATGGGCGGTCCCCAAGCTGACATATGCGCATGCGGCGAGGGGTCTGCCGTACTACCGAGACGCCCTTGATCGACTGACCGAGGATCAAGTGAAATCTTTAATTTGTTTATGAAATTGTTATTTATTATGTATACTCTTAACATATTTAATATGCACTAACCTGTTTATTATGTTACTTTTATGTGTTATCGCAGATGACATGGGACCCGTATGAAGCTGATTTAGTTGCTTCCATGCCTCCACATCTGCTAGATCATCAGGCGCAGTGGCGTTCTAGGGTCCCCCTGATCTGTTTTGAGGTCGTCGAGGGTCACCTACCAGATCGAGTCATGCGACAGTTTGGACTACGACAGACTGTCCCCCAGCAGTGTGACACTAGTGCCCGGCTGCACCGCATTGACCGTCGGGGAAAGAGCGACAGGAACTGGCGGACGGAGCATGCCCAGTACATTGACTTGTGGCATCGACGGTTGGAGTTCGTCGTCACTGGTGACCCCATCCACGGCGTTATGGATCCATACGATCCATACATGGAGTGGTACATGCGAATTACACGGCGTTTCATCAACCCCAGCTACGCACCGCCATCCGCACATTACCATCCATCCTTTGACGTGATCAGGGGATATGTAAGTGTATTTGATTAACTTATCTTTATCAATTTTAAATTTGTATATCATTCAACTAAATCATCCTTAATTACTGCAGGCGTTGGATATGACGGCGATGGTTGACGCACTGTCGGACGTCCTTCCAGGCATACCTGAGCCGCCCAGAGCACAGGTCGAGCGGGTGCGAGATATGGGCATGGCTACCTTGCAGAGATATGGTCACGCCTATCTCGTCCACCCCCGGGACGATCATGGCGGCCACTCTAGTCACTCACAGTTCGAGGCTGGCCAGAGTAGCTGTGGGGGTGATCCTTCGTCATTCACGGGCGCAGAGGAGTACGACATTCGCAGTTCCGCGCCCCTACGTCATCCTGATGACCCATCTTCTAGCCAGCTGACTCCGCCAGTACGCCCGAACCCATTTACCATGGTCCGTCACTACAGCCGTCGTCAAAGGCCGAGAGTGGACATACAGGATAGAGAGCCGTTACACCAAATTGATGAGTCAGAATAGGATAGAATTATCTGATTTATTTGCTGTAATGACCTTCTCTAGTTTGTTGTACATAACACTTACATTACATTATTATTTTAATAATTATTTGAATGAATTTATGTCTTGTTTGAATTTCAAATTCCTTATTTGTCCACGTTTGACTCATTTCGTTCAAAATAAATTGTGGATGTGGAGGTGGTGGATGTGGAGGAGGATGGGTGGTGGAGGTGGTGGATGTGGAGGAGGAGGGTGGTGGAGGTGTTGGAGGATGTGGAGGAGGAGGGTGGTGGTGGTGGTGGATGTGGAGGAGGAGGGTGGTGGATGTGGTGGATTTGGAGGAGAAGGGTGGTGGATATGGAGGAGGAGGGTGGTGGTGGTGGTGGTGGATGTGGAGGAGGAGGGTGATGGTGGTGGTGGATGTGGAGGAGGAGGGTGGTGGTGTTGGTGGATGTGGAAGGGGGCTGCACTGGCTGCTGTTGGGGGCCTGCTGTTGCTGCCTTCAGCCAGCAGATAAAACGCTGACTGAGGCAGCGTTTTATGCTTAGGTGTAAAACGCTGACTCAGTCAGCGTTTTTCTCTGTTATGGATACAAGAAAAACGCTGACTGAGTCAGCGTTTTACTGTATTTCCAATTTTTTTTTTTTAAATTTGTATTTCACATAATACGAAATTTTATAAAAAAAAATAATAACCAAAGGTAAAACGCTGACCGAGGCAGCGTTTTATGTCAAAAGCTCAGTTTCGTAAATAGTTTGGCCACGCGTCTAGATTGGTAAATTGTTTGCCAATTAAGCTTACTTTCGTAAAAAATCCGTTTAATAGATGGTTTGGTTGGGGTCCTTGGTTTAATAGATGGTTTGGTTGCTGTATATTGTTTTGTGGAAGAATGTGGGTAAAAGATCGATTTGTACGGTGTTTATTTTGGATTTTAATACTACAATAATTTTCTTTTTTTAGAGTACATATTATTTTCTATTTTGTATTATGTTAGATTGTAGTGTTTAAATAATTAAATAAAATACAATAGTTTTATCCAAAAAAAAATATATAAAAATAGCTTTAATGGGATAATTAATAAATGCATTTTGATAATAACTTATCCCATAACAACATTACATTAAATTAATAATAACTTAAATGAATAATACTTGAAGATCCCTTAGGGCTTGTTTGGTATTGCGTTTCTTATTTTTAGTTTTTTTTTTTAAAAAAACAGAAAATCAAAAACAAGAAACAAGAAAGGATAAAAATAGTATAGTGCACCCGGGTGCACCATGCGCATGGTGCATCCGGAAAGAACATTAGACATATTTTAAAGAACATGGGCAAAAAAAGGAACATGGGCAAAAAAAAGAACATGCTAGTGTTAGAAAAAGAACATACCTATGTTTGACAAAAGAACATGTTTGTGTTTGACAAGAACATGACATTACAAATAACATAAAGTCTTTACAAAAAGAACATATTATTTTTCATGGTTATTTAGGTGTTGAACGTGTTTGAAAAAAAAACATTATATTTGACAAAAAAGAACATGTTCGTGTTTGACAAAGATGTAGGCGATCATTGGGTGGGCCGGGCCAAGATTAAAAAATCAGCTCACTTCTCGGGTCGGGCCAAATTTTGGGCCGAAGTTTTTGTGCCCAAAATTGTCCGGCCATGCGGGCTTTTCGGGTCGAGTAAAAAAATCAACTAAAATGCATTCCCAAACCTGCCCAAAAAATTAAATTTAAGGGCAGGGTCCGACCCGATTTTGGGGGCGAAAAAAATTCTGCCCAAAACACGTGCAAAATCGGGTCGGGCCGTTCTAACTTTGATCACCTCTAGCCAAAGAACATAAAGTCTTTACAAAAAGAACATGATAATACATTAAAGAACATGTTCTTTTTTCTGGTTACTCGAGTGATTGGTTGGTTTTTTTTTTTTTTTAATGTACATGCATTAAAGAATATATTGTATAATATAAAGAATATATAGTTCAAACTCAAAGAACATAATCGTCAAACTTAAAGAACATATTATGCTCATGTTCTTTATAAATATATATAATGTTCTTTTTTTGCCCATGTTCTTTTAAATATACCTTATGTTCTTTCCGGGTGCACCATGCGCATGGTGCACCCGGGTGCACCAACCATACATTAGGGGTTTTTCCACCTTTTATCAAATTTTGAAATTATCATGATTTTAATAAGTTTGACTAACGAGCCCTAACAACAATTAACGGCTCCACCATAGGGAGACGGACATAATCTAACTATTTTTACGTGGAGCTTGTTAATTAAGTTGTTATTATTGTGTAACTCTTTTTTTATTAATAATTCTACCCCTCCCATTTGCCTTCAAAAAAAGTTAAAGATTGATTTTTGATAGAATCTAAACATAAATTAAACAGCAAAAGATCTATCTAATCTGGTTTGATCGATTATTTCTAAAATAAGCTAATATCAACTTAGGATAACGTGAAAGATCGATCTTCCAACTTACTGTATGATACACTAGCAAAAAAAATTTATAAAAATGCCAAGGTTAATTGTGAAGAACCAAAGCCAAAAAAAGGTAACGTCTTTGAAATATTGAATAGTATCAGGGCATCAAAAGATGCAAGGTCAAAAAAATAAACAAGAAGCTTTAGTTGGAATTCAATTCAGTACAAAAAATGAAACTAAACAAGTAGAGATAAGTTACGTCTTTGAAAATTGAAATATTGAATAGTTTCAGGACATCAAAATATGCAAGGTCAAAAAAATAAACAAGAAACTTTGTTTGAAATTCAATACAGTACGGAGTACAATATATGAATTATAGAGAAATTAGAGATAAGTAATTAAAGAATAATAATACTCAAATTAAGTGCAAAAAAATGTGTTCAAGTGTCACAGTCCATGAGTGCTTTGACACCAAATCCGCAGCCAATAAAAAGGAAATTGTTATTGTAATATACGGAGTACATAATTTGTAGGGGTAAACTAAAAATGAAAATTTTGTTCAAAAAAAACCTAAAATTGAAAATATAACATTAATTACGTAAAAATGATTAATGCGTGTTTTTATAATGCATAGTTTAATTAATATTGTACTTCGTATCAAATTAGGAAAAATATTAAATGTTTATTTTTAGCTCTAAGGCCATTATAGCACTACCTTTAAAAAATAATGGTCAAAAACTTGAGCAAAAGAGCTTGTAACTTTGTATAGTCTCAATCAAGGCCTCAAAAATAATTAGCCAAAGATTAGATGCACCGTCATAAACGCAATGGGAAATCCTTGCATTTATTTCAGTATTGTTGAGCCCATGAGCAAACCCATATACATGTGAGTAAAAATGTTGTCCCACATTAAAAGAGTATAAAAGTGTTGGAAAGTGACTTTTACATTGAAGAAATTAAAAAGTTGTGTCCATTTTATAAGACTAGGGGGCTACTCCCCTCATTACCATATGATTTTAAGGTCCTCCTTGGTACACTACAAAAATTTGGCCTTTTGGCAAATATTTTGTCTCTAAAAGTAGCTGCTATTCGGTTCGACCTCACTAGGGTCAACCCTGTATGTAAGGCTCCTTGAATTACTATTAAGTAATAAGTATTAACCTATTTTCTTTTACAGAGATAGTAGCTTAGTTTACCTTGATTGTGTAAAATGACAGATGATGTTCTTAAAACAGATGATGTACAATGAGTATAAAATACATATCACAACCCTTTCAGTCCATTCTAGGTAAATCTTTGGGAACATTTACTAAAAATCTAGAATCAATTTCTACATTAATATATTTGACATTATGTTCATAGTATATTGTTCCCAAAGATATGACATTTTGACATTATGTTCATAGTATGATGTTCATTAATAATTTATACATTAATATATTTGACAGACATCATTTCTCTCTTATATACTTATGATACTATGAAGCACAAGAACAGTATATTGCCCAATTCATTCGACCCCCAATGTAGCATAATCCACTAGTGACAATGTAGCATCACTCATCTTGCTATGACTACAAAAAGAAAACAGATAACATGACCTTAATCTTTGCTAGTCATCTATATGTTATGATTTAGTTTGTGCATCAGCGATTTGCGTTCCTAAGCTGTAAGAGTTTAGACCACCTCCTGTCTAGAGAAGCAGTCCTTTGATCACCTATATCTGCAGACAATTTTTACGCGTCAGATGCAAATTTCAGGCAACAAATGATGGATACTTCGTTTTAGACATGATGGTATGTAAAAGAATGCTTACAGTGAAGTTTTGGTTCAGATTTCTCACATGATTCAGAACAAGTCTCCTGATAACAGAAACAGTTCACTGATAAACTAACCAAATTTGCCTATTTAAGAGACAAAGTTATGCTTAATTTTTCTTATAATACCTTAACTGCTGTTTGGAGTCTTATTGTGTCTTGTACAAGAGAGCCTAAGTCGGCTTCATACCCCGGTCTTACATAGATAACCTGCATCCATTATATCCATGTTAATACATCTAAAGTCTATGTCTGCGGTCTAGAAATCAGGTGAGGAATGTTGAACTTCTTACTGATGGATCATCACTTCCAATCTCTGGAAGCTCTGTCGACGAATCATCTCTGTCATCAGGCAGAACCCAAACACGTATGCTTGTGTCAATCTGTGAAAATATTATTGCTTCCTCTGTTTAGAAAAAGTTGCAGCATCTCTATTCATGTTTGTCAATGTCAATGCATAACTTCAACCATTCAATATACATAAATAAATATTATAATGATTTGATGTTTTCTAGTACATGTTGAGACTCATCTAACATAATCCCAAAAAATGTCAAAAGTAGAGTGTGTGAATAGTATAAAAGTCGAAACTTGACCACTATTTCTAAATGAAGTATATGAAAAACAATATTAAACGATTGTTGGTATTATCAACTACATTTTGTCCTGTGCAAGCTAAGTAATTATAGGATAAGGAATTGCATTATATTGTCCACAGAATCACAGATATATATATGTCACATTTTTCTGAAACATGTAAAAAAAAAATTATAAATAAGCTAATTTAAACAAAAAAAAAATAGTAATATAATACCGTTCTGCAGTAAGGAGAAGAGCAACTGCTGCACTTCCTGGCAATGGTTGTAACCACCTTTCCATCTACAGACAGGCCAAATCCTGCGTGCTGGCAATCGAAGCGATTTTACGTGCAGCTTGATGTTAGTTATAAGCAAAGTCTAAGTAGTTGCAATGTATATAGAAAGGGAGGACAGATTACCTTCTGAAGGGAAAGACTGACAAAAACCTCAGTATCTTTTCGACCATCCTCAGCTAAATCATCCAACTGAAGATCCTTCAGGGAGACTAGGTACTCACAAGTCCATTGACCAGGCCATCTTCCAGTGGATGCAGGTATACTGATCACACGTCGTGGTGACTTTGAAGCTTTTCTGGTTATCTGATTCAACCATAATCACAAGGAATAAGTATATAATATAACATCATAAACTTGATATAATAGCATGTTATATATTATACCAGGGGTTCTTCATTTTTTCTTGAAGCTCTGATTTTGATGATTTGAGGAAATGAAGGTATTGATTTTGCTGGAAATATTGGAGATTTTAATGTGTTGATGTTTTAGCTGAACTCAGATGGGTGGCACCTGCCATCTTTGTTCTCAACAAAGTTCTGAGGTCACTGATACAAAGGCATTATCACATAATATGTGGCTTATGTATCTTCTCTTTCCCTCACGTGATGTGCATGTGGAGGGGTATATCCGTATATATATATATATATATATATATATATATATATATATATATATATATATATATATATATATATATATATATATATATATATATATATATATATATTATGCCCTCTTTTTTCACACTTTGATCCTCTCTCGAGTCTCGGCCTCTCCTTTTCCTCTCTAGAAAACTTTACAACCCAATATATCTTACGTGGCGCAACCAATTACCTTTGGTATTTATATCGCTTCGTCCCTAAATATACACTTCATTTCTCTTGAACACGGGATTTTAGGAAGGGGAAAAAAATAATCATAACATGGTATTGTTAAATCTGGTTGAATAAAAAATGGTGTGGAATAGTGTACTTTTTTAGAAGAAGTGACAAATAATAACATTGTAGGGTTATATAAAATGTATTAATTAAACAAGAATTTTAGGAACAAGAAATTGGGAAGATAGAGCTTTTATTTAGGGAAGGAGGTAGTAAATCATTTTTTAAAATCCAATTCCTCAAAACCTTTTCTATTTTTGAGAGATTGTGAAAAAATAATAATAATCATAATAATAAATAAATAAATAAATAAATAAATAAAAAATAAAAATCTGTAACTCTTTCTTCCAAGACTAACAATGAATTTGACTTCAGAGGATCCTGCTCACAATATCACAAGACTGACAATCAAAGGTGAAAGGAAGGGTTTGGTGCTTAAATTCTTGAATATAAACAGCTAAAACAAAATCATCAAAAGGAAAAAAACTAGTAAGACAATAATAGAGATTAAAGTTATATCTGTGTTAATGAGATCTTCAATGAATTACTAATTTACAACACTAATCAACAACACTATAAAAACAGTATCATCCCCAATGCCTCCAAAGATGATCCCTGAAATAACCACACAAAGGTTGTTTCCTACCTATCTAACAAGCAAAACTCGTACATGACGGATATACTCGCCCAAACCCTTCAGTGGGATGAAATTGGGGGGAAATCATAACTTTCTGTGAATTTTCTTAGAATTACAACAAACACGAAAATATAGGGAAAAGGAATGTGGGAAACCAAAAAATCGGTACAGGTTTCTGCAGTCCCGTTCTGCATCATCCTGTGAACTTAAGCTAGTTAAATACGTTCTTCCCTCGTAGATGAAATATAGTTGTTGCCATAAAAGCACAGTTAAGCCTATCCCCACAGAAATACTAGCTACAAATAGATAAAGAAGAACAAGCCCTCTTGGCGAAAAGAACACAGCAGAAGTCACAAATGCAATAAATATGTCTTTTAGGATGCCCATGAATGCAATGTTGCTGTTGAGTCCATGCATCTCCTGAAAAGATCCCTCACCCACAGATGGTAATACATGGAGGATTGCATAAGCAGACATGATGGCAGCATACGTTACACTAATAACAGCTACAATAAGGAAGCCGATGAAATAACGATGATTTCCTGCACCAACACAGTTTCCAATCTGCAAAATAGTAATGAAATTGATAACATCATTTAAAGCATCCAAAAGTAGGATTGTTTGATTCCATGTATTCACAAGCCGGGAAATTTTAAAGCTAAGAGTCCAACAAGCTTCACTGTTTAGCTGTAAGAGCATTTTAGCCATTAAACGAAGCATGACATTGTAATCAGACAGCCAGAGTTACGCTCTAGCCACTAACCAGACAACCACTTACAAGAATATGAAGCAACTTTCAAAACAAGAATATGAAGCAACTTTCAAAAGCAAAGCAACTTACAAGAAAAAAAAAAAAAAAAAAAAAAAAAAAAAAAAAAAAAAAAAAAAAAAAAAACAGTAACCAAAACAAGAATATGAAGCAACTTTCAAAAGCAAAGCAAGATCTTGCAAACTTACAAATGGGCAGTGATGATCCATGTCCAACACACAAGACCCACACGAACTGCAATGATGAGCTCTAGGTGATTTAGGCTTAGAGCAGTACTGGCAGAAAGTATAATCCTGTAATTCATCTTTCCTCACAGCTGGATAGCTACCCCACACAACTGGCGACGGAGTGCCAGCATCAGTGATGGCTGCCAGGCCGAACATAGAAACAGTAGACACAGACAATAGGAAAGTAACTATACTGTGGAATACGCCACAAAATAAGCTCACTGAAAATATAACTGGGTATACAGCCCACAAACCACCACCTACATATCCATATAAGACAGTGAAACAGAGTCACTAGTTATCAAAGCATAGATTAGAGAGATCTTTTCAATAAGATCCATAAGAATCATTTGCAAGAAAAAAATACTGTTATAGGCAGGAAAGTCAGATTTGTAGAAACAAGGAAGAGAATTAGGAAAAATTGATAAATGGTTGTATTAACAATACAAAATCAGCACTTAGGAGATCAAAAACCCAGATCTTAAAGCTGATTATGATAAATTAAAATTTTAATCATTATTCAACATAGTTTTCCTGTTGCTCAACTCCTTTACGTATAGACCAACTCCCCTCTTCTTGTTGATCAAGCTACCTCAAACTTAATTCTAAAAATTAGTCATGCATTGCCTAGACTACCCCTCCCCTTAGGCTAGTTCATCATACATACTAAAAGGTAAAATAAAAAGGATAATGATCGAATTTTAGCTGAAATTGTAGAAATCAAAGCCACTGAAATTGCAAGTAAGCAAACACATAGACAATAGTCAACTGCTTAGCTACAAGAGAGATAAAATCTCCAAGGAGTCCAAGACTCCAAGCCACCAAATGATATTGCACCAAGATAGTTGCTCTAAAAGTGATAGCAAAAGGTTAAATGGATTCACAGCTCACCAATTAGGAAAGGGGTAGCCTTTTTCTCTGTCTCCCTTATTTCTTCTTTTTAGAGAAAGGGGGGAGGGAAGGGGCAAGAAGTGTAAGGGAATATAAATTTAAGTAAATATGTGCCTTTATAAAAGCCTGCATCATCATCCCTGTTTGAATTGGCAGTTTGAGAAAGAGGTTATAGTATAGGACATACTACATGGCATAAATCATAGCCCAAGGAGAAACGAGAAGACCTACACTCCTACATGCAACCCAATCTCACAAGGAAGCAAAGCCAGCACCAATGGAAAATAATTTAAAGCAGTGAACAGGCTTTCTTGTGTTGACATATACAAGTTTGAGAAACTACAAAGAGCAGGAATGATCCTATGAACGACCAGAAAAAATAGATTTTAAAAGGGGCATGAGGCTTACATATAACAAATGACACAAATACAAGGAGGATAGAAACAAAGCAACGATCACGTAAACGCCTCCACCGCAATTTTTTGCCTTCACGTCTGCTTTCATTTTGTTTGGTTATTGCCCCACACCAACCACACTTAAAAACTGGTGCATTTGATGGGAGAATAAGTCGCAATCCACAGCCCCAGCATATCGATTCATAATCATGTTCCATGGAAGATGGGTACTGCTCCTGAAAAGTTGAGGCAACACAGGATTTTACGAAGTGCCTTGATTCAGAATAGGATTTCTGATATTGAACAACATAACACATAGATAAGACACATTCAACAAGCAACACCAGTCAACATATTATGTTGTATCTTGGACATGAACAAGCCAATTACGAGTTCGGATAGCAATTTATAAGAGGCCCTTACAGTGTTTCCTAAGTTGGGACAGAATCAGAATCAAGGAGGAAGAAGTAATCAAGTACGAAGGGGCATAATGCCATCAGGCAAGAATATCTATCTAGTTAAACTGTGTGTAAGGCAATCCTCCAGATATGCATTCTGACCAGCATATGCCAAACGCTAACCATGAAACATATTATCAATTGTTTAATCAAGGCAGGACCATAGACGCGTAATACTGCAGCTCAGTAGTATTTCACTAAATAACTCATTTTTCCTGAAACCAACACAATTCTAACCAGTCTCCCCGCTACACCACAATAGCAACTCAATAGAGAGTGTAACTTTGTTCTAAGTTCAACACATGACATACAAAATCAATCCCAATACAACCTGAATCGGTTTTATTTTCAGAGAAAGATGATGGAATTCATTGAAAAAATAGGTAATTTGGGGAAGACGGCAAAAAACAACATTTTCCAAAACAAAGCAAACTCAAACCTAGAATGATATGGATCCAATAACTCGGATAAGTTGGTATCACAAGATAAACAAGAAGCACATGGCTTTGGGGATGGCCATAGCAGAATGAACCCAATGATTAAGCAACTCTTTGTCAAAATTGCAGGTGTTGCCAGATTGAAAACAAACTCGAAAATATATATGAAATATTTTTAATTTAATCCGCTCGTTCTGACATATATACCATGTTTTCTAAATCCCCATATCCATGAAGCCCAAAAATAATGATATACAGCTATGATAAAAAATTTCCTCTTTCCTTTTCCTATTCTATTGTGAAGAGATAAAGGACCGCATTGGCTATCTACGGATTCCATTACCGAGAAGTGTATCTACCCTAAAACCGTCTTATCATTCCTTAGCATTAGAGCACTTTGCTTTAGGACATTCCTACAGCCTAGTACTTTCAGACTAAACACAAATGCATATACAGTTGGAGTAGAATAATCAGGAGACTTTCAGACTAAGACACAGTTACCCTGAGGTAGTGTACCAACATTGATTGATTCTCAAGAGTCGATTTTCGAGGATCAATGAAATTAAAAGGTATGAGGTTATCAGCAAAAATAAATTGATCAAGTCATTGATTCAAATATTTGGAGATGTGGAATACCCTGATCACAGTAGAATTTCAAGTCTTTCTTTCCAGCATCAATCATTCATTAAGAACAATCACACAAAAGAGAAATCAAACAAAAAAATATCCAATTAATTCAAACATTTTCGTACAAACAATTCATACAGTTATACTCAGTCAACCAGTGAAAAATTCAAATCAAAGCAACTTCAATGCAAATTAAATTGCTTTGATTACATGAAAAGATTAACTTAATCCATTGAAATAAAAAACAAATCCAATTCCAACTTCAATTAGGTCAACCATCCGAAAATCAAGCATACAATCAACTAATTTAATACTTAAACTACTTCAAAATAGCATAATTTAAAAGTCAAATACTCGATTTCTTAGTAAAATTCAACCTATAAATTTGATAATCACGAACAAAAAAAAAAAAGAAAATTACCAGAGTTTGAGAAGAGGGAGGAGAAGTAGATGCGAGTGATTGAGAGAGGAAGCCATTGTTGGATTCTTCGAGAGGAGGAGGAGAAGGAGAACGTTGCACTGCAAAAGCAAATCACAGAGAATTTCAGAAGAAGAGAGAGAAAGTGAGATGGAGAAGGAGAAGAAAGAGGAGAGAGAAAGTGAGCTCACCATTGATGGCGGCCATGGCGGCGGAGGAAGTCGGTGTGTTGAGAATTAAGACAGACACCACCTCCACACAGCCATGGAAAGGAAAGGAATGAATAATTAAAGAAAGTCAAGGTTTTTCAATAACTAATAATAGTAGTAATACACTCGAAATAATTTAATTTAATTAATTAATTAATATGCTTTACTCATGTTACAAGTAAAAAAAAATTTATAATTGCAAAGACATTCATTTTCTTCATTTTACAAGTAAAAAAAATGATATAATTGCAAAGACATTCATGTTACAAGTAAAAAAAAAAATTGCAATGACATTCATTTTCTCCTCAATCAAATTTATAATTGGATCATCCATCACATCTACCAGAGATAAATCACATCTATCAGAGATAAATCGTGTGCTAAATTGGATCGCTAATGTAGGTTACTTAATTCTTTTTTTTTTTTTTTTTTTTGAAACAGTAGGTTACTTAATTCTTGATAGTACAAGTATTATGTTTAGTAATATCCTAGTCTATTTACCAATTTCTCTTCTAATACATTAGAAATTCCTTGTAAGCCGGACTTTCTAATTATTGTCTTTCTTACCTTTTCAACTACCACAAAATAAAAAATAAAAATAAATAAATAAATAAATAAATATATATATATATATATATATATATATATATATATATATATATATATATATATATATATATAAAGAGAGAGAGAGATTCACTTATGTTATGAAATTATGCTTCTTTCAAAAAAAAAATGTTATGAACATATGCAATTTCCAATGATATAATTATTGTCTTTCTTACCTTTTCAACCACCACAAAATAAAAAATAAAAAATAAAAAATAAAAAATAAAAATAAAAATAAAAATAAAAAAGAGATTCACTATGTTATGAAATTATGCTTCTTTAAAAAAATGTTATGAACATATGCAATTTTCAATGATATAATTTGTGTGAAATGGAAATATGGGATGTCAAATATTTTTCTACTACTTCCGTTACAGGTTATGTGCAACAATTTGACATAAAGCAGAGAGGAAAAATGTCTAATCGTTGCACATAACCTATAACGGAGGTAGTATTTGAAAAGATAAACATAATTTCTAACAACAACTTTTGTGTAATGTTGGTCACGCCGTGTGGCCGACTAACACACGAGTAACCCCTAACCAACCGAGTAACCCCTAATTGAGTTAAAAACGAGCTAACGTCGTGCGGACAGCTAACACACGAGCTAATACCTCTTGTGAATGCACGAATTCAACTATTAATATCATTAATTATGATAAGCAAAAAGTATAAAAAGTTATTATTTTGAGAATATAGTAACGAACCTAGCAATATCTCACATGATTAAATTTTTCATCTATTAACCTATACTAAAAGCAAATCCTTCCATGACACTTCTCATTACCTTGTGAAAAATTCCATGACACTTCTCATTACCTTGTGAAAAATTTTCCTGCCTTTTTCGCTTCTTGCTTCTCACTTCTTTACTGACCTTGATGCAATTTTCTTTAATTTCTGTTGCTTGGTGTTTGGTTAAACGGGACGGTAATGTTGTTGCCCATAATTTAGCTCGTTTACCTTTTGGTATTGAACAAGTTTTGGAGAACCATGCCCCTTGTGACTTGTGAGGTTTCTCCCTATATTTTGTTGGACAAATTATCAATATAAGAGACACCTACAACGTTTCTTCAAAAAAAAAAAAAAAAAAAATATAAAATCCATATATATCAAAATGAAATATTTTTCAATATCTTTTATATACTTTATGTAGTATTTTGTAATTTTATTGTCAAAAATATTTTACAACCGTGTATTACACGGAATTTTAACCTAGTTAGATTTAAATCACAAAAAGAACAAAACGTGTCAATTTAAAAAACAGAAGAAGTACCCTCCTTTAAAAAAAAGGAAGAGAAATGCAATAGGAGTCTTATCCATTCCTTAATCCCATCTCCTTCACTCTTTCCTCCTTCCTTTCAGCTTCTAGACCAAATAACAATCCACACTCACTTTCACTCTCTCTCTCTCTCTGCAACCTCAAAGTTCATTTCAGATTTTAGTGTATATCAAAATTATAAGCAGAGTTTAATTTTATCCTCATTTTTTCAATTTTCAGTTCATTGGTTTGCTTGCTTACAGTGTTTGATGGCAACCCTTTGCAAATCTTACCCCCTTTTGCTAGTAAGTGCTCTTTATTTTTATTTTTTTGGCAGTAAATTAGTCCATATATAAATATAATTACTAGTAATTAATCACTTGTTATGACCACTAATCTCTCCTTTCTTAGTTTCCTTAGTCCTGTATCTATTAGGTGAGCACATAGATTAAAGAAATGCTTATGTATTACTAATTCATTGAAGATATCGTCTTTTTTTTACTTCCCTGAATGACTTTGTCTTTTTGATGTGGATTTGATCAACTTTGCGTAACGAAATTCATGTACTAGTAGCAGAACCAGCAATGAGAAAAACGATAACTGTAATACGAGTAGTTAATTTTGGATATCAAACTGTTGTAGTCCAAAGCAGACCTGAAGATTGGCAGGTTTAGTGACTTCAGTCTGAATGGCAACACCTAAGTTGCTGCTACCTTCATTTCTATTCAGGACAATTTTAATCAGAGAATTGTGCATATTTTGCTGCTCGTACGTATTCTTTAGATGTTCCGAATATTTCTTGAATTCTCTGTTGTGTACACTGATAAGATCTTGGAAAGTCGTCTGACAAAATGATAATAAATAGGATTGCAGTCGACTTAGAGGGAAGGGCTTTCCCAATACGAGGGAGACAACCAGTCAATCTGATCCTATATCTTGTAGTTTCATCTATGAAAAAATTGACAAATCATCTAGAATGAGTGCTTTGACAACTGATCAGGATGTCCTTGTTCTTATAGTTTGTCATTCTGTAGATACTTATGACCCATCTGTTGTGTCTATGCAGAAAAGATTCAGGAGTCCCACAAGACGAAACCTAGATCACAGCCCACAGATAACACTTAGTCCCCGGTGTGTCTTGGGAGTTTCTGCTCAAACAGTCACTGAAATCTCGCATCAAGGAATAACCAACTCTCAACCAATATCTGATATGTTTGCTCTTGCTACAACTAACAACATCAGTATGCTCGAAACAGCACATATCTTCAATGAGCTGAAGCACAATATACTGTTAATAGAGTTGGATGCAGCCACAGCAAAGGCTGTCATTCCCTTTATAGGACCTTTCCTTTCGGCATTTTCCTTCCTTTTCATCCTAAGGATAGTCATGTCATGGTATCCAAGACTTCCGGTGGGTAAGTTCCCATATGTTCTTGCTTATGCACCTACAGAACCAATTCTGGTTCCTACGCGCAAAGTGATTCCACCCCTTGGCGGTGTGGATGTAACACCTGTGGTTTGGTTTGGATTACTTAGTTTCTTAAATGAGATTTTAGTAGGACCTCAAGGACTTCTGGTCCTCCTTTCTCAGCAGATGTAAGTAGTTAACACGGCTGAAAGAGTAGATGGTCATCAGTCTACTTTGGTGCCTATATTATAATTTTTGGGTTCATAACTTTTAACAATTTGTGTATTTACAAATTTTTGAAAACTCTACTTTTTTTTTTTTTTTTTTTTTTGGTTAGTCGCATGATGAGCAATGGTATTGTAATGTATATTCATGACAGCAACCACAGAGTAATATGGAGTACTCCATTCAACACAAAATAAAAAGCCAATTTTTGATATCATGTTAAAAAAAAATTCTCATTTTACCTTTTGACAGAATATTTATTAAATTTCTTAAAGACGAATATTTAAGTGTGCCTTATTATTTAGAGAGCAAGATTTTGGCTCATTATATCTACTGCAAGATTGTCTCACAGGTGATTGTCAAAAAAAAAAAAAGATTGTCTCACAGCAATTACGTCAAGAATTTCGCATAATCTCCAAATAAGATAAATTGTGTCAATTGACATCCTGCACATTACCAATTATCTGCTAGTCTACTATCACCATCCTCAACTATTCAATCACCATAAAATAGGATTTCTTATTAAACTTCTTGCAACTGCAGAAATTTACAATAAAATGCAGATGTTGCCTGTAATGGGAAATGGAAAGCTCGAGACTAGATGGCCAATGGAGGCATAGATGATTTCTTTATCAAAACAGATTACATCACAGAAGACCATGACTATATTTCTTTCTAGTTCAACGAGTTCGCATATTACATACGAAGTATATGTCAAAATTTAGGAAAACTATAGTATCCTTGAAAGAATAGTTACATTTCTAATTCTAAACATTGCACGATCATGACCCTTAAAACAAACACGGTGCTCTCAAAAAATACAAATGAATCCTGCTCCAGTTTAGATATCTGCATCAAGGAAACTACTCGCCAAAGAAACCTGCAACATTGAACAATCAAGCACAGATACATTATAAGCATAAATTCATAATCAAACATTGAAGTTTAATAGTTTTGTGAGAGATAAAATTATCTAGACATGCATCTATATAGCTGAAATCTGCGTGAATTTTGGATTCTACCTCACAGGGTTTTATGCATTGGAAGATGCACCATTTAGGAAAAAAAACAATTACAGAAATAAATCAAACTGGATTATAAAGAATATACTAGTCTTCACCAAACTGCATCAGAAGCTCTACCATTTTGATTTTAAATAAACAAGACAGTCAATTAACTCATAATTTACGTTTTATTTTAAATAATAACTGGAGCAAGGGAAGGGAAAGGAAAAGATAGGGAGAAATATAATATTCCTTTGCAGGATTTGCATACATTCCTTAGTTAAGCGATAGAGGGACTTTATGTTCTCGACTTTCCTTCGATCCAAATTCCACTGATTTAGGAGGAAAGAAAGTATGATTTTAATATGAGGTCTTCAATAATAAATAGTGTAGGAAAGCTACTTATTTCATTTCCCTTTCCTTTCCATCCATTTCCTTCTCAGCAAACAAATGCGAAGTACATTACAAGGATACAGTAACAGAGGTGGACATGTTCAAAAATTGATATAGAAACTAATAATGGAGTAAGCTACGTAAGTATAGTGACATTTAACTACTAGTCTATTAAGACACTGATGGAACCCAAAACTGAGGGTATCTCAGGATATATAATGATCCAGATTTTTGGCAAAAAATACCAGCGCTTTTTTGCATGGAGAATGTTCACTACCCAAGTTCCAAGTCTATAGAATACCTAACAGAGAACTTGAGCTATAACTCAACATCACTGCACGGTGCACCTATAGTTGGAGGCTAAAAGCAATGACAAGATTGACAACAGTCCAAAGCTAGAGCTCTCTCAAACAACTTTATGAGTATCAAATATTTTCTCAGCAGTAATATTGTTACAAGATCTTTTAACTGGCTTCCACAATTGAAAGAAAAAAAAAAAAGAAAAAAAAAATAGAAAAGTATAAGGTGCCTACAATAAAATTCAAACAAAGGACAAACCAGTCACTGCACAACTGGACACCTTATTGGTGCAAGAGTTCAGTAGCTTGATCTTCCCAAATATTATTTACTTGCCATTCATCGGGAGAATATAATACAATTTGGGCTAGATGCTAAGAATACTGTCTTTTTTAAAATGTAGGGTTAAGACTAAAAACATCATTCGGAAATAACTGACATAAAGCCCCTATCTCACTCCCATACTCTAGGTAAGAACCTCTACAAACCCATTGAAAATAGTTTAGTACCATATAAATTACTACCTCCGTTACATATTAGTTGCAACTTTCCATTTTTTCCCCTTTTTAGTAAGTTCTTTTTAATAAAATTACAAAAATATCCTTACTTAAACACAATTAACTCACTACATCATGAATCATTAAATAATAACCTAACATAATCAACATAAATCATTCAACTTCCATCAATCTTCATCCTAGCTCCACGAACTCATCCAACCACCACTTTCAATGTCGCCGCCACGGCGCCACCTTTAGGGCTCTAGCCACCACCTTCAATGGCGCCACCATTGAAGACCACCTTAGATTTTGCCACCACTGAAGATCACCTTCGATTTCGCCACCACTGAAGACCACCTTCGATTTCGCCACCTCTGACCACCCCCTCTACCTCCAGTGTTCTTATTTCCCTCTCCCTCTCTTCTAATCGTTTAGATCTGATGGTTTGGAGTGGTTTTTGTGGGTTCGGGTTGGTTCGAGGTGACGACGGGTTATATTTTACGGTGGGTGAAGCTGATTTAGAGGTGGTTTAGAGTAGGGAGTGGTTTTCGTGGGTGAGTGAGGCTGAATTCAGGTGGTTTAAGGTTAGGGGTGGATTTCACGGTGGTTCTTTGTGGTGGTTTATGTTAGTGGGGGTGGGTTCGAGGTGGTTCAAGGTGAGTGGGGTGGGTTTTTGGTGGCTATATGGTGGGTGGTGCTGATGAGGGTGGTGGTGGACTGGTTGGTGTTGGCAGTGAACTGGTGGTGGTGTTTGAATAATTAAACATCCCCACTCTCTCTCTTACCCTTAATTGTATATTATTTAATTCATTAATTACACATTATGAAATTTTGCCTAGGAGTCCGCAAACCTCCCAAAGTTGCAACTAACTTGAAACGGAGGTAGTATAAAAATCTAACTTCCGCAAAAGTTCTCAGCTTTCCACCCACTCTTTGATACTCCGTACCTTAAACTGCCCAAATGCTCATATATATAGATCGATGGATAGCCACTTTGGTAGAACAAAGGCAGGAAAAACAGTAATAACAATTATTTAAATGAGTAAAGCATTAAAGTAAGGAAGAGAAAGGTGTACCTTATCCCCAAGTTTAAATGCTGGAAGACCTTTGTATGGGCATGTGCTGCACCTAAAAGCATCTCCTAGTCCACACTGTAATTTTAGGAAGCCCAACAGGAGAGTTTCAGATAGGATGGCAACCAATAATGAGCAAACAAGCAATATAGATGATTCGCATCAATTAAAAATAGGGGTGAAAGTAAATTGGATAAAAACCGAAAACCGAACCAATCCAAACCGAATAAGCAATTCGGTTTGGTTTTTTTTCGATTTTCGGATTGGATCGGTTTGAAAAAATAGAAACCGAAATATTTCGGTGTGGATTCGGTTTTGGAATTCGAAAAACCGAAAACCGAACACCGAACCGAAATTTATAAGCCCACTAATCCAGCCCATTTTATGACATATATATATCCAAAACCCTAGATCTTTTCGTCCCCTCTTTTCCCATTTCCCTTTCACGGTTTCACTTTCCCTCACCAAAACCCTAGATTTTCCCTCTTCTCTCCCTCACCACCTCACTCCGTCTGTCCACCACCAGTCCGGTACTTCGGTATCTCACCGCCGCTCAACGCTCACCAGTCACCACCACGTTCTGATTCAGTCAAAGGTAAGAATACCTTCTCTTTTCAGATTTCACTTCTCTTTTCCTGCTTCTCTTCGATTTTGCGAATTTGATGTTTTGCTATGTTCGAAATGGTAATATTCCTTTGTGAATTGGTGAATTTGATGTTTTATAGTTCGAATTGGTGAATTTTCCTTTGTCTAATTGTCCCTAGATTTCCTTTATTTTGTTCGAAAACTTCGAATTGGTGATAGATTGATTGTTTGGTGATATTTGATGTTCGAATTGGTGATAGATTGATTGTTTGGTGATAATTGATGTTCACCCATAGCCTCTGTTTGATATGTTTTAATAACAACAATTATTATATGATATTTTTTTTCATTATTTCATATATATTATGTAACTTGTTTTTTTGTTTCTGTTGTTAGACTTGAGAAATTTGACACAATTGGTGGTGGTCAAAATAACCAAGACTTGGTTGAGCTTGATTGAACGGTTGAAGAGTTGAAGCTGCCAGCCAATTAAGCTGTTGCCATTGTTTCATTAAGCTGCTGCCAATTGAATTAAGTTGCTGCTAGTTGGACTGTTAATTCATTTTTAAGATTTCTATTATGTCTGTAATTTTATTCTAATGGCTGGAATGTTTTTTTATTTTTTATTATTATGCTATTACTTAATGTGACAAATATTAGTCTTAAAGACTTTAGTTTTTTCTTAAAAATTTGTTCAGGAAACGTACAAAATTTAGGCCTTTTAAATGACTAAAACAATAGGCCCAAATAAAAGCCCAAATTTAAGGCCCAAATAAAAGCCCAAATTTAAGTTTGGTTTGGATTGGATTCATTTTTCAAAACCGAATTATTTCGGTTTGGATTGGATTGGATTGAATCCAAATTCGGTTTGGATTCGGTTTCAAAAATCTGAAACCGAAATAATTCGGTTTGGATTCGGTTTGGAGTAAAATCCAAACCGAATACCGAACTTTCACCCCTAATTAAAAAAACATAATGAAACATGCATAACCATCTTCAAAAGTCAAGATACTCTGAATTAAGATACCACAATTGTAAATATGATGCTACAACACATACACTTCCACATGCAGACTGAGGATTATCTAGCTGTTCCATTGTTAGCCCCAATTTTGCAACTTTCTGCCCTTCCTCAGCCCTACCACATGAACAGTTCTTGCAGGCTTTCCTTGTGCTTCCAACTTCACAATCCCCGGCTGTAATGATAATTTGGATCATCATGCATATATATTGGAGAGCAAATTCCCAGGACAAAAGGAGAAAAGAGTGGGGGGGGGGGGGAGTGAGGAACATCCTTATTTTTCCAAGATCTTACCAGCAGGAAGTTGTGGTTTCTTCAAGTCCTCCTCAGTTAATAGAGTGTCCTCATCAATCAGATCCATATCATCATCAATTTGAACCTTGGGTAAACCTTTTGAGGCTTTGAGGGAAAAAGATGATCCAATTTTCCAAGATGGCTTCTTGGCTTTAACCTGTAATTGAAGTACACTTCTCAATTTTTTATCAAATAAAAAAATAAAATAAAAAGAAAAACAAATCCTACGTAAACAGTGGAAAAAAACAATCATCTTGTTTCAAGGATAAATTGTCCTCATTCCGTAATCCTTATCTACATAGGCGGATCTTGGCCAAAAATAATAGAGGGGCCGGGATTTGAATCTCTTTTACCTCTAGCTTAAAATAATCACCATGTCCGATAAGTTCCTACTTCAAAATTGTAAGCATTCATAAAGAACTACTGGATCATTATAATTTTTTTTTTCTAAAATAATGACATTTTTAATCATACTTATTCAAAGTTCCATCACAAATCAATCAATCAATCAAAGCCTTAATCCCATAAGTGGGGTCGGCTACATGAACCAAAAGTTCCACCACAATTAATAAGATAATATTAGGACAACTGGTAAATGAATGTTGTTAGGCTATGTTTAGTTCTTATTTTTTCTAATGTGATCTAATTCTCATCTGAACTAAACTGATTTGATTGCCTAATTTGACTAAAATTTGACTTTATGCACACTAATCCGTAAGGTAAGAATAAATCGAGTAGGGTCTTATCAGATTTACGGTTGTTAGCGATAAAAAATTGCACATGAAATGATAACATATGATCTGAACTTTTTTTTCCCTGATTTGAAATAAGTAATAAAGTACTTATATAAGATGAACTAAGCATAGCCTTTAATCTTGATGCTTAATCAAAGTGGTCACGAATTCTTAGATTATGTGATTGATCAAAGCTGACAAATCCACTTAATTCAAAGCATGTTTAGGTCAAAACATTGTTTGCTATCAACAAACGAACAAAAACCTAAACAAGTTGCACCTTAAAAAGATGATCCATATGTAACAAGTTGCGTTCATTGTCATTTGTAGCCTTCTTATTGAGGAAATGGGGAAAAAAAAGTGGCCAAAAGGAAAAATGGGCAAGTAATTTGGGATGTAAGGAGTATATGATAACAAGTGCCAACCCCTAAACTGGAGAGAAAACCAAATTATCTAGAAAGGTCTACTTAGTACTTACTAAGCATCCTAATTTACAGATGAAGATGTACAAATTATTCCATGAAAAAAAAAGGGGGGGGGGGGGGAACAGCAAAAACAAAGGGTTCCTGATGGTCATAAAGAAACCTAAAAGAGTTTGAAATAACTTTTGATCATGATAAAAATATGGCAGAATTGATTCCCAATCAATAGGATATGAAATTCTAACACTAAAATAGGTTCATATTTCAATAGACAATGCAGTGAGAACTGAGAACCACATAAGTAGTTCAGTGCTAAACAATTATGACTAGATGAGAGCAGTTTAGTAGAGCCTAAAAATTAGCAATACGATGCAAGAAAGCAAGCTTTCACAATGCCAATTCAAGCTACTTCTTCTAGTCATACATATATAAAGTTTTTGAGAAAGAACTGTGAAATGACAAAACCTTAACAGTCTCTTATTCAAGAAAAGTGGCATAAATATTATTATGCTCGTGCAACAATCAAGAAATAAATGGAGCCCACAAACAATATCAATCCCCATAAACAGTCATGTGTAATGGTAACTATAAAAATATGATGATAAAAAGTGCAAAGACAAAAATTCTTGAAACTTCCCCTTGCTCCATAAAAATATTTTTAAAACTATATCTCACCCAATCACCACTCCAGAGATGCATAAAATGTTGATTTACCTTGAAACTACAATCAAATTTTCAAATAGCTTATGCTAACCCCCAAATCCAACACCAGCATAAACAAGTTAGAAACAGACGGTCAAGCTTATCAGTTATCACAGAGAAGCATGCTTTGTATTCCCATCTCTTGAAAAAAAATAGTACACGTAACCAGTTCTGTATCACCACATTTTAGAAGGACATTGATTTTTTTTTGTTGAACCAAAATTCAAACAGACCTTACAGAGAAACTCTTATAAAGACTTTCAGAATAAATTGAAGATTACTGCATATGCTATGAGGATTAAGTAATTAACACTAATGACATGCAACTAACTTGGATAGTTTGAACTCCTGATAAAGCGTCCGGTTGCTGTTGGCTAGCTTCTGGTTCCAAGAATCCTGCTACAAGTATTTTCCGCTCCAGAGAAGAAAGAATCTGCAGATTGCCATAAATATCTATCAGGGTTCAATGGACAAGTGAACACATGTAAAGTCAACTTTCAATATCGTCAGCAATCCAACAATTCCAAAATAGTTAGATATTACATTGTCTGAAGGTAGATCACCAGCAAGTTCAGACAGACAAATAAGAATTCTTCCATCTGGCTTCAGAACTCTGAACAATTCAGCAAGCATTGGAGCAGCAGGAAAGTCTCGTGTTTTGGAAACACCAATAACAGTATCCATAGATGACGATTCCAAAGGCAGTGTACCTGATAAGTTCATGTCATTATAAAACTGGTAGAAAAATAATGTGCAATAAACGAGGGATTTTCTACACAGGATGTAAAAGGATAATGTTTTGCAAACATTGCATCACATATTCAAGATCAGACAAGCAACAGCAAACAGATGAAAATAAATACATTAATTTGAAATTCAGAGCAAAAAAGCGTCCACCTGTAGCAAGTCAGCAACGTCTCATTGCCACTATTTGAAGCAACTGAATAGGAGACTCTCATTCTAATACTAAACCAAGATAATCGGTTTACATACAAGAAATAATCCCAAGAAGACAATATTGCAGTTATAAATTTCCCAATAGCATCAAACCTTCCCAACGCCAATAACATAAACCCTAGAAACCCTCTATAAGCATGATCCCCCATTTCCAAACTGTTGAACAATCAAGAATATCAAATCGACAAATTGATACATCGAAAATTTAATAAAAAGGATTGAGTAATAGATCATAAGATTTTACAAATATTCTGTATCAACTTTGTATTGAAAAATTGCAAAAATTACACATTAGGAAAAAAAATAAAATTGCATACACAACAAAGATCAATTCTTCACACAAAAAACAATGTAAAAGAAATTACTTAGAGACGAAGCGAGGGTGATGATAAAAGTATTATCAAGCACTGATCCTTCGAGCTTAAGCTCATTCTTCGAACTGGATACGGTACTAAGGGGCAAGATCACAACATCGGTAATTGCAAGAATTGCCATTTTATCCTGCAAATTTCACGAAAATCAAATCATTTTTTTTCAAATTGCAAAATCTTAGGGTTTAATTCGACATTAATTGAAAATTGAACAATTATTCAGCAAGAAATGAAGTAAAATTTGAAGAACGAAAATCTATAACAAAGATTAAACGATAAGTTGTTTGAGTACAAACTGATGAAAGAGAAATTCAAAAACAAAAGAGATGATTACCGAGATAAATCGAGATTTTGAAGATCAGCAAGAATTGTAGAAACCCTAAGTTCGGTGTGAAATGGGGAGTTTTAAGAGAACAAGTTTCTTAGTTCTACTTCTCAATGCCAAAAATATATACTCGTAATACTCATATAGATGTTCAAGTTTGGCGGTTTCAAAAATTACTACGTACAAGCTTCTTTTCTTAAAAATAAATAAATAAATAGTCGTGTACGGCTCGGCAGTATCCACACCATGTAACCGTTTGTAAAAAAAAAAAAAAAAATCACTATAACACATATCGAATAACCCTTTAAAAATATTGAGTAACTCACACTGTCACACATATCGAATAACCCTTTAAAAATGATTGAGTAACTCTTAGAACACTAACCGACCATTATGGTTGTTACATAGTGTGACCAGCCACATATAAGAATTTGTGAAATTAGTTTTACTATATTCAAATTATTTTTAACGAATTTAAATTAATTATAATTAATTGAAATAATGTTTACTTTGTATTTAATATTATTTTTTGTAAGGTGAAGAATACAGGGTTTTAATTACGAAGTATTAAAAAAAATTAGCTAAGATCGAGAAAAATAAACTTCCACGTTACCCAAAAAAAATGAAAGAATTATAACATGAAAATTAAACTTTGGATTATTTTCTATTTAAATATTATTGAAAAACCAAGTTTAGACCTAATTCACAATAATATTATTATGGATCTTGATTTTTAAAAAAAAAAACTAGTGTATAGCCCGAGCGTTGTACCGAGTTATTACTTTAATTATTCCTTGTGAATATGTGCATTTGATATTTATATTGTCCCTTTTTTAGACCTGTGATTATCAATTATATAAATTTATTTTTATGTTTATGACATAGTTGATAGTTGGCTCAAATGGTTTAAATAACCATATTTTTTTTACGTTTAATTAACATTCAACAATGTAGAAATTTCATAGAAATTGGAATTTCTCTACAAAACGCATTTAAACATTTTAGGATTTTAATAAGGAAAATAACTTTCCATAAATAAAAAATAATTTCCTTTCCAAAAATTGTACAGTAATTTCCATTGCAAGATTTGCAACCAAACAAGGATCAAATTGGCAAGGTTTAGTAAAAAGGTTTTTACTGCTGAAGTTTCAAAGATACATAAAAAATCATATTCATTGTGAATTCGTAACTTTCCATAAATAAATAACATTATTTATCTATCTACCCAAACCCCTCAATTTCTTCTTCTTCAACTCCTAAATTCTGCAAATTCGATTTCATTTGTCCACAATTTTCCAATCGAACCATAATTTCTGCTTAATCTTCAGTCAAATCATTCATCAATGGCGTTTGAAGATGATCCGTAAGTTTTTCTCTACTATTTCCCCCCTTTCTCCTACTTTTTTCGATTGCAAATTCTCGAATTAGGGTTTCAAAATCTAATCTTTGATTTTTGTTTCTGGTTTATTGTTTTCAGATATCGTGATGATGATGGAGAGCCGGTGATGGACTTTGATGATATCCAATCGGAAGACGATGAGCAGCCGCAGTTGCCACCAATGGACGACGATGTTCCGGATTTCAATGATGAAGAGGATGAAGAGAATGGGAATTGGAGTCAGGAGCCGAAGGCGAAAACCCGAAAGCGGCTTATTAAGAAGAGTGATGATCAGGCTTCTTTGCCTCCTGAATTCAATGATTTTGCTGATGAAGATGATGGGGTTGAGCCTGAATATGGGTCTTTCCCTGATGAGGAGGAGGAGGAACTGTCTTCGTCGATGATGTCGAAGAAGAGGAAGGATAAAGGGATGATGAGGGAAGGAGGGGAGAAGAGGAGGAAAGAGAAGAAGTTGAGGAAGGATAAATATGGAAGTGGGGGTGGTAGTAGTGGTGGTGGGAGGGATCATAGTAAGGCGAAATTGAGCTTGAGGCGAAAGAAAGGCGGTGGCGATGAGGGCGATCCCGAGATGCGGGAGATGTGGGATACCATTGCTGGTGGTAATTCTGAGGTCTGGATAAATAAAGTGTTTATGTTTTTTCATATTCTTGTGCTTTAGAGTTATTGTTTTAGCTGTTGATAAATTGTGGTTTGCTCTTGATTTGAAGTTATTGTCTTTCCTCTATTGAACTGTGCTTGCTTCTGTAGTTTCCATTTCCTTGGCGCTTGTTCGAGCTTGAAAATACCAATTGCTAAATACTTATGAAGTCTAGTCTAGATTGAAATATCGAAGTTGGAGTAAAATGGAACTTGGTTTTACTTTGTTAATGTAGAGATGATAGAGAGAGTTATAATTTGCATATGCGATTGCTAGACTTATGAATCCACATAAAAACAGTTTAATTTTGGCAGTATGAGAAGATTAAAGGTTTGTTCTAGGCTGCACTTCAGTGTGCTAGCTTAGTGTGGGATATTGGTTTTGATAGGATTGTTGCCCCTTCCAGAACTAGTTATGTACTTATGTTTGGTCATTTTTTATGGGGTTCAAATCATGTGAGTTGTTTTTAGTCATCATTTGAACTATTCTTCTTGTTCCTGAGATTCATGTCTTTTCTACGCAAAATGGGTATTGGTCTTTCAGTTCACCCTTCAATGTACTCCGTATTTTATTGCAATAATGTTTTGAAGTTTATTCGTTGGTGGTTTATTGCTTGTATATGGCAAATCATAGCTAGATTTGATTTGCTTCCCTTAGTTGATGAGAGTAATATGCTTTCTTAAGAATAGGAAAATTTGTTAATTACTATCTCAAAAAGGGGTCCTTTGTAAATTACTACCCCTAAAAAAAAGTTGTTAATTACTACACCTAAAACAGATTAATTCTATTAACTACTACCTTTTTTTCTTAATCAACCTACTTAAGCTCTTAATGACATCCATTATTTGTTTAAAGAGTATTTAATAGCTTTTAAACCTTAATTTATCTGATAAACCCTTGCACCACCTACCCACCACCTCCGGCAGCTCCCCCACCACGAAATCCACCCTCTCTTGGTCATCCACCACAAAACTACTCCCACCGCCAAACCCACTGCAATTACCGCCCCTCCCTTTGCCCCAACCCTTAAAACCCATCCCCTCCCTTTTCCTCAACCCCAATTACCGCCCCTCCTTTTGCCCCAACCCTTAAAACCCATCCCCTCCCCTCCCCTTTCCTCAACCCCGATTACCGCCCCTTCCCTTCTTCTAGCCCCCCAAAACAGCCCAGCCACCTGATAGGGCTTTGTTTTGTTGTGGGGAATGGGAGGAGGATGGGTTTTCTGGTGATGGAAGGTGAAGGGGTGGGAATTGTGTGTCGGGGAATCGGAATAGAGGTGGAAATCGTGGTGGGGGAACAGGAAGGGGTGGATTTTGTGTGTGTGTGGGGGGGGGGGGGAACGAGAGGGTGGGTTTAGGGGTATTAATTCACAAAAACCCCTTTTTTGATGTAGTAATTAACAAATTTTCCTTAAGAATATGAGATGAAGTTTATTCTTGGGATCTGTGATGTTCTTGACCTGTATCTGGATGTAACTGTTTGTTTTGATAAAGAATTCAGTACTCAGCTTTACTACATCTTTTAGATTCACTGTAAGGATTCTTACTAAACCTGTTTAACATCAAATATTAATTAATTTATGTTTTTGACATCAATAGGATGACCAAGAGGGTATGAAGACCCTAGATGATGATAATTTCATTGATGATACCGGCGTGGATCCTGCTGACAGGTATGTCAGTGATCGTGAGGCAGCTTCGCCCAGTCGTTTTGCTCAGGTATGCTCTTGATACTGGTGCACACTGTGTGGATCATGTATATAGTGAATTTGGCATGGTCAATTCCTAGAAGGCATCCAAATATTTTGGCCCTAAATCCCAAGTGATGCAAATGATTTTACCTGATACTTCCAATACCCTTCTCCCCCTTTCTGTCCCTATCTTTCCCACAGACTACCGTTTTAATTTATTCTGATTCAATATGTAGTACAACATGTAGCTTCTCAAAGGACTAATTTGTTGATATGGACATTAATTTCTAAGTTTTTTAATTTTTTGACAGGCAGAGGAGGGTGAGGAAGAAGATATGTTTAAGTCAGGTAAGAAGAAGAAGAAGAATGAGAAAAGTGCTGCAGAAATCGCAGAGTTGGTGGAGACACTTATGGCTGAACTTGAAGTTGTAGCTGAAGAAGATGCTGTATTAAATACACAAGGGAAACCAGCCATCAATAAGCTCAGGAAGTTACCACTTCTTACTGAGGCTCTTTCCAAGTATGACATTATCTTTCTCTCCTCTTTTTGTTACTTCTTCATCACTGTTCTGTATTGAAATTCTACCGGAAGGGAAATAATTTCTCACTATCCATCTTTATGTATTGATGTAGGAAACAACTCCAACTTGAATTTCTTGATCATGGGGTCTTAACATTATTAAAAAATTGGCTCGAGCCACTTCCTGATGGAAGCCTGCCCAACATTAATATACGTGAAGCTATTCTGAGGATCTTGACTGATGTACTACACAATGCACTTTTTCGTGCTTTTCTTTAGGTTCTTGGTTCAATTTTGATATAGATCCTCACTTAGTGTTTGTGTATTTCAGTATCCAATTGATTTAGACCAACATGATAGAAAAGAACAACTGAAGAAGAGCGGACTTGGAAAGGTCTAAAGCTTAAACTTGCTTATTTGACTGTAATAGTGTCTTGAGAAACGGAGTTTCAGAGGAAAAGGGTAACATATTTGACATTTTTTGTGCAGGTCATTATGTTTCTATCAAGGTCAGAAGAAGAGACAACATCAAACAGGAAACTTGCCAAGGATTTGGTTGATAAATGGGTAGGTTGATTTTAGTGTTTGGCAATTTAATTTGGGTACAGTGAACAATTCCTCTCCTTGCCCTCTGCTGATATATTTGGAATTTTACCAAAACAAAACAACCTTCTAAGATAAGATTACACCCATGTTTTTCCCTTTGAATGATAGATTTTCCTATGCACTTCAGCAATATTTATGTTGGGGTTCATTGTACAAATTAAAAGTATTACGACATTTCATGTAGACTGTGGAACCCAGAACTTTGACTTAACCTGCCTTAGTTTGTAAAGGCGAATTGCAATGGGGAGACAAAATATTTGCTTCTGCAAAATCAAGCCAAGCAACCTCTCTGTGCCCACAGCCACATTTGGCGAAGCACACCTCATACTTTGACCGCTTTTGGGTTGAATGGGTAGATCTGACATAAAATGTTGAGAAACCAACCTACATTTCTTGCAAGTTAAACCTATAGCCCTGGTTAAATTTGCATTATTGCATCAATTTGAAGCCCGATTTCAAAGCCCTTATTTGAAAAACCTAAATTTCACGACTTAATTGCAATTGATGGTCTTGAACTTGCCGGCTATGACAGAGAACGCTGGCCAGCCATCTCTGGTTATCACTGGCACCATAGCTCTGGTAGCCGACAATGGCAAGTGGCGAGTTCCGTCTTTTTCTCTCTTTGACCTCTTATCTATCACTCTGTCTGCAGTTATACGGCTTATGCCTTCTCTCACACTCTTCAATGCACACTCTTGCTCTTTTCATCTTCTTTCCTTTTTCTTTGATCCGGATACTGGTTCAATATTTTTATCTTCCTATTCGACATACCACTGTACAGAAGTTTTGTGCTTTTCATTGTTTTACTTTCACCATTTTTACATCTTATAAAGTGAGTTATAAAGGTCTTTCACAACTAGCTTATGTGCCCCTCTTTGGTTTAATTTTGTTTATTCTCTTAAAGGCCTTTTACTTTGATATTTCTGAAGCCCTCTCTCTCTCTCTCTCTCTCTCACACACACACACACACACGCAAACACGCACGCATACCTTTTTTTTACCCCTTTGTGCAAGCAAAAGTGAAGACATTACCCCCCCCCCCCCCTTTTTTCCCTCTGTGCAAGCAAAAGAGAAGAGTTATCAGTCGTGATGCCAACTTAGTCTATGATCCATTGATCACTGTGTCAACCAGTAGCTCAGCACATAAGTGGGCAGTAACAATTGGAGAGATTTTTCTTATTTTGGAAGGGATGAAGGAGAGGTAGTTAAAAGACTTCAAGAAGTTTATGTTGTGAATTGATTAACTCTTCATCTATGGTGGGAGTGATTTCGGCTGAGTGCCTCAGTCAACATCATTTCATCTCTTATGAATAAACAGGAGCACACTTTATAGATTGTTTCCAATTGCTACTTCTTTAGATCCCTGATAGACAACAGGCATTCACTTTTGAACTCTGTTAAAGTTTGTTACCTTTGTGGGGTTTGCTTCACCATAGTGAGCTGAGTTCATTAAGATTCTTCAGGAATTTATGAAAGACAACTGCTGGTTATTGATTAATTTTGTGACTTTAGTTTGGTTTTCATGTATATAAATGCTTCCTAACTGCTCATGTGACTCTTGCAGAGTCGTCCAATTTTTAACAAGAGCACAAGGTTTGAGGATATGAGAAATGTTGAGGATGAAAGAGTTTTCAGGCGACCTTCTGTCAAGAAGTATGTTAAGAACCAAGAATTCATTAGTGTTTATCCTTTGCTTTAAGCTATCTAGGTTTCCACTTTGTTTGCTGCATTCATATATATCTACAACTATTTTTACAGGCCAGCAAATAAAGCTTCAGGGATGGAATCTAGAGATGATGATCTTGATGAATTCTCATCGTAAGTTATTTTAAAATTCGAATTTCTATGCTCTTATTATATGTGTGTAAACCTAATATTATTTTGCAACTCAAACCTGGTTTTAGGGCACGGAAGGCTGGCCCATCTGCTTCTAGGCTACATGCGTCGAGGCCAGAAGCAACTCCCATGGACTTTATAATTCGTCCTCAATCCAAGATTGACCCAGATGAGATAAGAGCCCGAGCGAAACAGCACCAAGTAGATGAACGTCGTTTGAAGGTAATTTATTTTGTGGAGTTTTGTTTTATCAGTAGGATATCCCAATGCACAACTATCCTGATTTAGTGTCTATTTTGTGCAAGCTTGCTTGTTAAATGTTCTAGAGACACTAAATAGTTCTACTGCCTCCTGGAGAATGTTGAGATCGAGATAAGGATTTTCTGATATGTTAACTCATTTTGTGTGGTATCTGTTTAAGAATAATTGTCAATACATAATGTGTATAATTCTGTATACACTTGTGGCATTAGGGAAGAACTGGAGAAGCCATATGGGCTCAGTAAAATTCAGGTGAAAAGGACGAAGTGTCAAGGTTATAACTTTTAAGTCTTAACCTAAATTATTTCTTTAATGACAGATGAACAAGAAGATGCAGCAACTTAAGCAAATGAAAAAGAAGAAGCTTCAAGCAACTAAAGTCAGTGTGGAGGGTCGGGGCATGGTGAAGTACTTGTGATGCTGTGTATGCTGAATTACATGGTGTTACAAGCTTGCATGCACGAATGACGGCGCCATTGGAGCTCAATACGGTGAGGGTGCTGCACAGGAATCACAATTGCTGAATACCTCTAGTCAACGTTCGAATGTGTCTGCTACCTCTGAGAACAGCTTTCATCCAAAATCAACTCTGGGAATGAAGCACTAGTGTGTTGTGTTAATTATGCTCGTCTTTGGCTTCCATGTACCAGAGTTTTTTCTTCCAAAACTTTAGAGGTTCTCTTTGATTGTAGTTTCTTGAAGTTTAGTTACTGTTGCAGCATTGCTGCCAGCATCTCCTGCCTTCTGCAACGCGCAGGGCAGTAAAAAAAAGAAGAGAACCTCCCTTTACCCCGCCCCCCTCTGTATTTTGGACACTATGAACAACCTCTTGGGTCCATTTGTATTTTTTTTTTTTAATTTAATGAAAATTTGAGTGGTAGACCATTATGCTTTCTATCCTAAAAAGGTTGAAATATTGTTAAACTTCATTATTTTTTTGTATTGGGAAATGATTAAAATAAAAAGCTGAAAAAGAAATGTACATGTGATTTATAAAATGTGCCACGTATGTCTTTATTCTCATCATTCTAAAGTGCTGTTATGTTTGTAGATGGATCATCAGGCCATATGTGCCATTAATCACGAATTCTAGTGACATGCTCAGGGTAATGCATCAAGGGCATGAAGAGCCAAGGAGTGTAGGATGATATAAATTATTACCTTCAATCGAAGCATGTCCTAAATCACCTAAATGTCATTGTTAGATGACGGAAAATTAATTATTTGTACCAGATTTTTTGGTTTTTTTTTCTTCTTTTCTTATTATTTTGTTTACTACCCCCGTTAATTGTTATGTTCAATTTTGGGGTATTATTTGTGAGATAAAATATTTCAAAATTACACATAACATATAACGGATGTAGTTTTATTTTTAAATACAAGTGTTCCATTATTTTAGGTTAAGTCATCTTATGGATTTATTAGTAATAACCAACTTGGAATCCGATACCAAAATTTGAATCAAATAGGGGCACAGGGCCTTACTTATCACATTTGGATACATGCAATGTATTAAAAATACATAATAATTTCGAGATGCTCGAGTTGCTTTAATATAATATGGTAGAAACTAAGAACGAATAACTTTTCTAAGAGTAAATATTCTATGTCACTAATAGGTACAATTATACAACCCAATGTATAATTTAAATATTTAATCTTATTGGTCATATCATCAATTCTTTTGCCCCCACTATGTATCATTTAATATTCACTAATTTGTAGCATGGAGAAAGAACCAAAGAAGAATGGAAGAGTCAAGAGATTCCTATTAGTCTCCAAAGTATATATTTTTAAAGATTTTGTTTAGAAAACTTTAAGGATAAAAATACTCCCTTCATCTCTTTTTGTTGTTTTTTTACTGTATTTGATGTTACACGATTTTCAAAACTTATAGTTAACCATTGGATAAAATCTAATAATATTCCACATGATCCTTATTTTTACACATTAATGAAATTATTTTAGTCATATTTATAAAGTTTGACCATAAAAGTCAGAACGGAAAACAAATAGTAACGGAGAGAGTAAAAAAAAGGACAAAGAATAGCCAGCAATTACAAAAATTGACATCCACAACAGTTTAAGTTTAAATAAAAATGAGATAACATTCCCACCCACCCCCACCCCTTTTAGTTGTCTACCCACCATTACTTTTCCCATTACAAACTAAATTCTTATTCATACTAATCTTATCCAATACACCTCATCTTCCTTCATCACACCATATATATACCACTCCCTCTTCCCCCACTAGTCCAACAAATAACAACAATCCAAAAACTCGATCAAATTTTGCATTCTTTAAAAACTCAGGGTATCTGGTGAATTATTCCCTAGGTCGATATGGGGCATAATCTATTACAAGCACTAAATGTACGAGTTGAAGGAACAGGTGAGAAGTACTTGGTATTAGCACATGGGTTCGGAACGGACCAATCCGCATGGCAAAGAATTCTACCCTATTTTACACCTTACTACCGTGTGATACTCTATGACTTAGCTTGTGCGGGTAGTGTTAACCCCGACTTGTTCGACTTTTGTCGATACACCACGCTTGACGCGTACGTCGATGACTTGCTCGACATATTGGATGCGCTTGGTGTTACCCGTTGCGCTTATGTTGGTCATTCGGTTTCGGCTATGATCGGTATTCTTGCTTCCATACGTCGTCGTGACCTTTTTTCTAAGCTCATTCTTATTGGTGCTTCTCCTAGGTAAATGCTCTCTATTCTTCTATTGGGTCCTCACAAATTAAAATGCATCAAAAAGAAAAAAAGATTATTCTTTATTTATCTATTTTATTTATTTATTTATAGTCATTTTATTTTATTTATGATGTTATTTTTGGTCAAAAAAAAAAGGTAACAGTGTATATTAGCTCTTATCTTTCTTTTCTACCAGTAGTTTAATCTTTGTTGAAGGATTGTCTAACATCGTGGTAGACTTATTTGCATAGTGTGACTTAGTCTTAAGAGAATACTGTCCCAACTTTCGTGTCATAACTTTTTCGACAATAATTTACCAATTTAGATGTATAGTGATTAGTGAATCATGCTCACTATTTGTTGACTTAAGGTCTAATCACTATTGAGTAATTGTGAATTACGGTTTTATTTTGTAAATTTAGTATTTAACAAGTTTAGCTGTATATTATATGGTATATTTGTATTTGTGATATGTTAAATTTGTTTATCTTAATAATAAATTTTATAAGCCACATAAACTTTAAAATAAGAACGAGATGATCAAATAAACTACACAAGTTCGAAAACAGACGCAACAATCAAAATCCAAACAAATTTATAAGAATTGTACTTGTACAAGTATATAAAACGATATAGAAGTGGCAATATAATGTGTAATCCTCCAAATCTTGTGGTTTATAGAGCTTATTGCTCGAATTATTTAATATTTAAGGTAAATCAAACAACTACCTAATAAACCTTAGCCAATGCAATACCACCAACTGTTTTCATGCATTTATGAAGCATATTTAATGACTTGGTCAAACCTCATTTAATGATTGACAACCAATTTTTTTTTTTTTTTTTTTTGGCCCTTTTTTCATTTTTTTGGTTTGGCAAAAATATATAGATTTTGTGAATCTTCAACTCAATCTTTTATGGAGTAATATTTCTTGTCCTTGTATAATTGATTTTACCAAATGTGACTTTTATTTTTAGGTTAAAACTATTATAACAACCTAGTTGACATGCAATGCCTAGAAAGCCTGTCCAATTTTTACATTGTCTCAACTTTTCATTACGATATTATAGATTGATGTACTTGCATTTATATTATTATCAAGTAGTTGTGTACTTGCTTTTGACTAGTGGCGTATCAAGAAATTTAATCATATTCCGCCATTATTTTAGGGAATGCAACCACTTTTATTACTGCTTATTCAATTCATAATATATGAAAGTAACACGTACATATGTAACGTGACTATTAAAATTAGACGAAAGGAGTAAAATAAAGAAACCTATTTTAATTTGTAGGTTCTTGAACGACCACGATTATCACGGCGGATTCGAGGAAGGCGAGATAGAGACTGTGTTCTCGGCAATGGAGGCAAATTACACAGCGTGGGTGAACGGGTTCGCACCACTAGCCGTAGGAGCGGACGTGCCAACAGCCGTGTGCGAGTTTAGTAGGACACTATTCAACATGAGGCCAGATATATCCCTATTTGTTTGTAGGACAGTCTTTAATAGTGATTTTAGAGGTGTTTTAGGACTAGTGGAAGTCCCTTGTTACATCATCCAAACAGCTAAAGATATGTCAGTACCAGCATCCGTAGCAACCTACATGAAAAACCATCTTGGTGGTAAAAGTACTGTCCTAATGCTTAATACCGAAGGTCATTTGCCTCACCTTAGCGCCCCAGCCCTTTTGGCTCAATCCCTTCGACGAGCCCTTGCGCAATGAGATCGATTTATTCGATATATTGGGACAATTCTTTGTTGATTGATTAATCTTTTACGAGTTTTATTTGGGTTTTCTTGTACGGAGAAAAGAACGTACGTACATACATTCATATATAAGTACATGTATCATGTATGTATGTGTATGGATAAATTGTTATACAACGCAATTTTTTTTGGGTAGATTGAGGAACTAGTATATTCAATATACAACATTGTTAAAGAGATTGAATTTAGTGAGCATTTTGTAATACTAGTGCTTGATAATTTCGATATTTGAAATAAGTAAAAGCGTGTTCTATTTAAGTATTGAACTGATTGTTTTAGTTATTTGATTGTATGTGAGCATATCTAAACCTAGCTATTAGACTGTATAAAAAAATAATTGTGAATCAAACATGGTAGTCCTAATTAATTTTTAATGAAATTCTTTTTTAGTGAAGTCATCTTATTTGAATTTATTTATCCATATTTGAACTATTTTTTTCCAAATTAAGTGGAATAAGGTATATATAATGTCGAAAATGGATGTAATTATCAACTAATTATTGTACCAAAAGTTTAGCAAGATCTCTAAAGCTTAATAGTTTTCTCCCTTTGGAACACGTGAAAAATGATCAATTTTTTTGGTGGTTGTTTATGGAACACATACTAATTCATGCAACTTTTGTCATGTTGACGACCAAAAAATTCATGATTTTGGATTTGTGGGGACAAATTATAGTAAGTTCTACTGTTCCGAAGATTTTCCGAGCAATAAAATGGATACATTTTGGATTTTTTTTTTTGAAAGAAGTCCTAAAGGACATTAAATTTCATTAATAATAGTCATACGACATCTACAATTGACAATTAACGATAATGAAAACGAATTTAACAAAATCAAACAAGAATTAATCAGGGAAGGGCTAAGAATCCAAATACATAAATATAACAATTCGGCACATTCTCGGTTCGTTGTCTCATACAACTTTTTGAGTGGATCCATTGCCGCTTCGCAATTTTGTGAGAAAGAAAATTCTTGTGTTGATTCCGTAACCCAAATCCGAGCCATAATCAATAGTAGCCCCACACAACCAGAGACCAAATTAAACACAAATAACACCTTGTCTTTCGAAGGAGTCCGAAAAACCTTGTCTTTCGAATTGAAGGAGATCGAAAAAACCTTGTCTTTCGAATGAGATAAACCCTTTCTTTCGAGGGAGACATTATTGTAACCTAAGAAAAATTTAAAAACTTAAAAGAAAATAAAGATTGGGGCTTTCCACCGGTGAAATCCGATAGAAGTCCCTTCAAAATTGATAATGGAGGCTAAAGTTTAGGAGAGAGAAGAGAGAGAGGAGGCTAGGGTTTTCTCATATTTGTTATACATTTGGAGCTTTTCCATACTTTCTTTTTTTTTTTTTTTTTTTTTTGACAGGATTTCCATACTATGTTTTTTTTGTAGACATTTGTTTCATCATGTAACGTATTTCGTTATTGGGTGCGTACGTATGTTTATATGTGAAACTTTGACCTATTAATCTATTACGGAGTAGATTTTAAGGTAATAATATGTATGAATTGAAAGTTGATACTCTTTGTTAAAATTATATATCGTGAAGTTTTTTAAACTTTCACATAAATTTTTTTCTTTCTTATATATGTGGTCTCCACTACTCCGTATAAGTCAAATTGTAACACTTAAAAATCCCGACCGATTATCCACCTACTTTAGTCAAGATGAGGCACATGTAGAATGATCTATTTACGCATGCTAGACTTTGTTTGGTTGGACCACCAAAGTCTATAAAGAAAGGGTCCACAAAGACAAATTGTTATTGAGATTTTAAGGCACTTTAGAGATGCCAACACATGGCAAACAAATTGTGGACTGTATTTCTTCATGCATTTGGATTTTATAGCTTTGGATTTGATTATTTGGATGACAATTTGATACGAGTACCAATTTTTATGGCTTTTTGAAGTAAGGATAGAAATAGAAGTTCTTTACGTGAAATTCACATGATGTGGGCTCTTGTTTTGAAAAAAATTTACCAGACTGTTTAAAAATGGTAAAAGTCGATTATCTGAAATACTACCTCCATTTCATAAAATCTGCAACATTTTTCCAAAACGAAAACTACACATTATGTACAACATTTTCTAATATAGTAAATTTTTTTGTGTGAATTTACCAACATACCCCTACTTAACTTCAATAAACTACCTATTAGTGAATAGATTAAGCCTAAAATGTCTATATTTTGTAAAAGAATTATCGTCAAAATAAGGACATTTAGAGACAAAGAGAGTTGTACTATGACATTAAGGAACCTCTATTGCCTATTGGTGTGGAATTGAGACTTTAATTTCCTTTTTTTTTGGTTGAAATTTGCTTAGACATTGCTTATTTAGCTTAATGTGCATTTATGCTGTATTTGTTTGATGGAAACTAAGGGTTGAATAGATTAAGCCTAAATTGTCTATATATCAAGATAACAAGAAGAGTGCAAATAATATTGATGTAAGAAAGTATTATTCTTGATATCGAGTTGTATGTTTAGAGTTGCATATATGTTACGGCATTAAAGAAAGAACGTCTTGGAAAAGGAAATGACTGAGGGTCATTGCACAGATGTGTAGAAACTGCACTATTCTTGCTCTTGATCATGCTGAGTACCATATGCATGAGCTTATGCAGGTAAGAGAGGTTGCTCGTCACTTGGATTGTTGGCCCATTTTTTCATTGCATCTCGAATGCTGGATGTGAATCGATATCATTCAGTTTTTCCTATTCTTATCTAGGATATGAAGCTATCATATGTACGAGTCAAAGGAGAACTATGTTGACAACATATGATATGGGTAATGCAGTTAGCTTACGAAACATCGAGGTGTGCTTCCTAATAATTGGAATTTTGGATACATACTGGGGCTTGTAGTTTTTAGCTATAGGGCTTGTTCTGATTTACTGAACTGAGCTAAGCTGAACTGAACTGTTTATGAGAGAAGAAAATTAGGAATTGAACTGAACTGAACTGAGCTAAACTGAATTGAACTGAAATGAAATTAAGCTGAAGAGAACATGTCTTTAATCCAATTATTATGATTTGTGTTTGATTGCCATTATCACATCAGTTGAAGTGCATCTATGATTGTATACTGCATCATGTTCACTGTTAGACGAAATGCTTTGAATCTGCCTACTCTGTTTCAACTCAATTCAAATTGCCTCTAAGACACTCATTCTTTTCAAGGGAATGCACAGTATGTTTCAGCGCACACTTGCAGGCATTAAGAAATTGACGATCATCAGCTGTTCTTTTCAGGAGCGTATGCTTCTGTGCACACTTGCAGGTCAGGGAGAGCGTTTGTTTCAGTGCACACTTACAGGCATTATGGAATTGACGATTTCAGTTGATAACACAAAAACATATACCCAGGCTAATTATGGAAAAATTTGTAAATTTTCAAGTTGAAAAAGAAAAACCAGAATTATTCATTTTGTGGCAGATAAACAAGCATATATTCACAGATAAAACTATTTTCTCATTTCTTGGAACTAAAAGGCCCTGTTTTCAGGTGGTACAAAAAGAGCATACACTCATAACTTCAGTTGTATTCCCTCGGATAAGTTCTATAGCTAATGAAGTAATCATGTTTGCTGCATTTTCTTCCTTAATTCCCCAAGAGGCCCATAACCCACACCATATGTCTCCTGTTTGCTGCAACTGCAGACACCGGTATTCAAATTCGTACCACAATTTAGGCACAGGCCTTTGCATTTGGGATCACATACTGCATTAATGGTGATCTCTAGATGTACCATGTCTCGGATGTGCTTGGAAATGTCAATTTCTTTTCTCTCTGGTGGAAAATGAAGCCTATCCTCCAGATCAATCAATGCATCATCATCATCTTCTTCCTCATTTACATTTCCAGCAGAACTCTTCAACTTATCTTCACCAAACATAAATCCCATGTTTATGACCTCCGGCTCCTCCACAGGTTCCTCAGTTAACAATAGAGAGAAGTTGGAAAATACACTTTCAGCTGCTGGTCCACCACACCTTAAAAAAAATCATTTGAGAAATATGATTAGGTTACCAAGAACTTGCTGAAAGTTTACAATATGAATACATGTTAACCTTCTGAAATGATTGTGTGAGTGGATATGCAAAAGATCCATGCCCAAGTATACACTTGTGATTGGAACCAAGCAATCAATAGTGACTGAGTGTGATTATATTCCATTTACTATGAATTTGAAAGACGAATCCACTTTATAGCCAACCTATGCTCTTGAAAACAAATAAAGCTGCCAGTTTATCAGCTCTTGCATATCAAAACACCCCCCCCCCCAACAAAAGCAGTCACCAGAAAGACATATAGCCTGTCCACAGACATTGAAACAATTCAGCTCATTCATGATGCCTAGTAAGCAGTTGCAGCACTTGAAACTCCAATGCAGAATACAGCTTTTATACCCACTATGAACCTTGCCCCAGGAAGAGAGAGGCCATGTATTGGACCTCAAAATCTAATAATGCAGCTACTTACTGAATTACTGCTGCAGTACAAGCTTTCAATCTTACAGATCAGCATAAGGACCTTTCTTTTTCTTTACTTTAAATCTATTTAGCAATGTTGATTGTAGTCAGATTTTAACAGGTGGGAATAACATGAGACAATACTCACAGAAGTTTGCTAGATTAGAGCTACAACAATATATTATAAAAAAGATAGATGAATCAAGTACCTGTTGCAAGCAAGGGAGAGAACTGTTCTGATGATGCCATCAAGCCTTAATTTATGCTTTTTTCGGGTAACATCAACAGAAATAAGTACAGGTGTTCCATCCGTAAAATCCTTTACAGCTTTAGTCACTCGTAATCCCATTGATGATGCACTAGACCTTGACAATTCCGATGAAATTTTGCCTAAACCAAGTCTTTCTAAAGTAGTGCAGTATTCCATGTGAGATATTGAAGGGTTTCGCCTATAGACAATGGCCCCTTCCCATGGAGATCCATCATCTTCCTCATCACCCCAATCAAACTCAATTGCATTTTCATCATCATCTAATGATGATAACTCGCCATCATCAATTTTCGAGGCCTTTGTTGCTAGGACAACGTATTTGTAAGGCTTTCCAAAGCAAGAACTATTATAAATACCACTTGACATTTTACAACTACATTGAATAAATCCAGACTCAGGGTGCCGAAGAAAAGTGGATTTATTTAACTGAAATCCGATTTTTGCAAGACCACTAGTAATAGGATTTACACTGGACATAGAGTATACAAGGGACATTGCACCAGATCTTTGTAATAAATCAGAGCACAGATAGAGTGAAAAATGCTCTATACAGGCAGTATATGGCCAACGGATCCGTTTGGCTTATTGGTGTAGGCAGGTGCTAATTCTGGGAGGACTAATCTACTTAATGAGACACCTCATACAAAAATTAGAAGGTATCTTCGTAGATGCTCGAACTTCAAATAATTTGGAACAAATCTGATCATTCACCTCCTAATTGGATAAATGAAGCAATAATTGATCAAGAACACGCAAGATCAATGGCGAGCATAAATCTACAAAAAGCAAGAAAAAAAATTGTAAAAAAATTCATGGCATACTATATTGATTCCAAATACAACACATCACAATAACACTCAAATTTCACAGGTAAAGAAAACATTTTCCATGAATCCTTCAACTTATTTTAGAATAATACAATTCACATTGTGAATTTAGTAAATTATCCAACAACTATCTAGTATTAATCAAAGATTATTGAAAACTAACCTATAATAAGTTTCTCCAAAATTCGAGTTTTTCTTTGACTAGCACTACCAATAGACGGTTCCATTACAAACATCCGTCAAGGTTTATTTTACAGCATGAACAAACCTTATTCACAATCAAAGTTAACACTAATAAACATGAAAACATCCAACATTAAAGGAAACATAAAACAACTATGAAAATTGAGAAGAAATTTGAAACTATACCCAAATAAGTAAGCAATAAAAAAAAAAACACAAACCCATGTTTCAGTTAAGAATTTCAAGTTCATTCAACATACCCAGATAAAAATTTCAGCAGAAAAACATAAAAATTTGAAATTTAGATAAAATTGATGATTAAGAAGCAAAAACAATAATAAATGAAGAAAGTTGAGGATTAAAAAGGAGGAGAATATAACTTACAGTAAGATAATTATGGCAAGAACATCAAAGAAGAAAACTTGAAGTAGGAACAGAGAGGATATCCAAGGAGAAGTGGATTGAGTGAGGTGTTAGAGTTTTATCAAGGGTTTTTCTGGAGATATTTCAAGTTTTATCATCTAGATAAACTAGGCGGACATACGAGCTACGAAGGGCTAAATTGACATTTTAATATGGATAATAGGGGTGATATAGTCTTTTTGAGGTGTGAAAGCCTATTATGTGCACCCGGGGTCATTTGCTCATTCAATCAACAAATAAATAGAAGTATTATTTGCTCAATTTGTTGATTAAATGAGCAAATGATCTTGAGGGTACGGTACAAACGAGTGTATATAATAAATTCTATTAAGATGTAGAATGAATTATCAGTCGAGTATCCTTTGACCGTCGATAAAAGTTAAAGGTGATCAACAATGGTACAACTTAATGGCCCAATTAGAGGACGTTTTAGGAAACTAAGCTTCCCGAAGAAAATAATTACAAATTTGGTTGCGTGGCAAAAGTATTTACAAAAATAAGCTTCTGGGGTAAACCGCTGCCTCGGGCAGCATTTTACCCTCTATTTTTTAAAAAAAAAAAATTCTGCTACAAAAACGCTGCCCCAGGCAGCGTTTTTATAGTTTGACTTTTTTTCCTCGTTTATTTTTTTTTAAAATTAATTAAAAAAAAAGGCAACAGCATAAAACGCTGCCCCAGGCAGCGTCTTATCTTGTTAATGAAACGCTGCCCCAGGCAGCGTTTCTGTCTGGTTGTAAAACCAGAAACTCGAGCTTCGTTTTCAATCACGTTTGCTCTTCATTCCTTCGCCTCCTTCGCAATCCTCTTCCTTCCCTTCCCAAATTTCCTCTTCAATCCTCTTCAACCCAATTTCGTATTACATCCAATTCAAGGTATGGTTAAATATTAGTTGAGTATTTACAAATTGTTCGTTATGTTTGTTGAATTCTTGAATTGTTGGTTAGTGTTGTTGAATTATTGAATTGTTGGATATTGTTGTTGAATTGTTGGTTAGTGTTGTTGAATTCATGAATTGTTGGTTAGTGTTGTTGAATTGTTGGTTAGTGTTGTTGAAATATTGGTTATTGTTGAATTTCTTGAATTGTTGAATTTCTAGGGTTTATGTTGAATTTTGGGGGTTTTTGTTGAATTTAGGGGTTTAGGGTTGAGTTGATGAATTGTGATTGTTAAATATTAATTTGGATAATGTAGAATTGTTGGTGTTGAAATATTGAAGATGTTAAGTATTTGAATTTCTAGAATTATTGCTTGTTAATGGTGACCTAGTGATGCTTAGTTGTTCCAAAGTGGTTAGTTGGATGTGATTTAGAGATGGATTAGTGTGTTTTAGTGTAATGTGTTTTGGTTGTTGTGTAGAATATGGCCGCACATAATGTAGTTTTGTTGTGCCGGTGGGGAGGTGAATTTTTGTTTGACGGACCTCGTGTCGAGTATAATGGTGGAAATATGGAACCACTGACACTTGAACCGAACATGACCTTCAGTGATTTCATGAACGAGGTTCATAGTAGCGTTAGTTCAAACCCGGGGAGTGTTGAACTAAACATTAAAATGAGGTTTGAGACCGGGAATGGGGTTCAAGTGTTACCTGTGTCCTCGAATAAGCATTTGAAAGCTTTAAGGAGCGTTGTAGCGTTGAAGGGTGTTCCCACCGAGATTTATGTGGAGATGGTGCCTATTTGTACCCAACAAAGTACCAGGGCAGAACCACATTCTACATTTATTTCCGGTAACAACACACAGCCGCAAGTAATGGTGGGGTGGGCCGTCGAGTACGGCAGAACATTACTTTTGAGTTGTTATTTGGTTTGCTGTAACAGATAAAACAATAACATTTGCTGTAACAGATAATACTTGTTAAATCATATTTGTGTTTAATCTATACCGTAGTCAGTGAACATATACCATGGACAGAGAGGTGCATTTGCCCGGACCGCTTGACCCTTCCGTGCTTACACTCCAGGCCACGCACCGGAGCACTGCCGTATGGGATCAATCGGTAACATTTAATTCCTATGCCAACATACTTAAGAATGCTCCTTGAAATTATCGTTTTACACTTACGTTTATGTATTTCATTTGCAGGTTGATCCCGCGAAGCCGCTTGTTTGCAGGCACCACACAGCCAGAGTAATGGTGGGGTGGGCCGTCGAGGCACGCGTCCTAGAGTACATCGAGCTCGCTGGTTTTGGAGGAATTCACGGATGGCCTTCAGGGCCATCGACCGAGCGCTTGTGACTGCGCTCGCGGAGAGGTGGAGACAGAGGGCCGAGCAACCTGACCTAGATCAATTGCCCCGGATAGATGAATCGGGATAGTGTTAGCTTAGTTATTTCATGTAGTAAAATTTTTGTATAGATTAGGTATATAACATTTACATTTCTAATATAATAAATGTTTTTCGGTCAACATTTGTGTGTTATGTTCTTTGTTTCCCAATATGTTTTGATTTATGTATATATTGACTTGTCAACGGTGGTGGTGGAAGGTAGTGGTGTGAGGTGGAAGGTTGTTGGAGGTGGTGGTGGTGGAAGGTTGTTGGAGGTGGTGGTGGACGGTTGTTGGAAGGTGGTTGTGGTGGTGGGAGGTCGGGGTGGAAGGTGGTGGACGGCGGTGGAGGAAGGTGGTGGAAGGCGGTGGAAGGCGGTGGTGGAAGGTGATGGTTGGAGGTGGTGGTGGAAGGTGGTGGTTGGAGGTGGTGGAAGGCGGTGGTGGTGGAAGGTGGAAGGTGGTGGAGGTGATGGTTGGAGGTGGTGGAGGGCGGTGGTGGAAAGGGGTTGGAGGTGGTGGAAGGTGGTGGTGGTGGTGGAAGGCGGTGGTGGTGGAGGGCGGTAGTGGAAAGGGGTTGGAGGTGGTGGAAGGAGGTTGGGGGTGGTGTTGGAAGGATGTTGAGGGTTGGGGCAAGAAACTGGTTTGGTGCTGCCAACCAGGTAAAACGCTGCCTGGGGCAGCATTTTACCTGTAAACATATACAGATAAAACGCTGCCCCAGGCAGCGTCTTATGTTCAAGCATAAGACGCTGCCTGGGGCAGCGTTTTATGCTGTTGCCTTTTTTTTAATTAATTTTAAAAAAAAATAAACGAGGAAAAAAAAAAGTCAAACTATAAAAACGCTGCCTGGGGCAGCGTTTTTGTAGCAGAATTTTTTTTTTAAAAAAAATAGAAAGTAAAACGCTGCCCGAGGCAGCGGTTTACCCCAGAAGCTTATTTTTGTAAATACTTTTGCCACGCAACCATTTTTGTAATTACTTTCGTAACGAAGCTTAGTTTCCTAAAACGTCCCCAATTAGATTGGTCCGAAAAAGTTAAGTTTGGGCACCCTTAAATTGTACACCCTTTTTTTTAATAAGATAAGAGTTAAATTTGCACATTTATCAACACGACAACACACAACTTTGACCATTAATTTTTCTAACGAAAGATTAGTAAGAATTATAAAAAAAATTTAATTTATAAAAGTAGACATTATGACAAATCCAACAACATATTATATGATTATATTTATATATTATATATTTGTAAAAAAAATTAAGTCAATGATGACATAAGAATAGTGAAAAATCTCAACTTTAGCTTATAAAAAAAAAACTGAGGGAGTATTTTAGCTCAATATCCAAGCTTAGCCTAAAAAAAATACGAAATTGCAATCAAATGAATTTTGAAGAAATCTAATAAAAAGTCATACGACATCTACGATGAAACAAAAAAGAATGTACTGTGATAGAATTTAAACTTAAAACATTTTTTCATTTTGACAATTTGACTTCACTAGTTTGCAGTCCTACGGGTATGGGTACCGGTGCAGACCTGCAGTTCGTGCAGGGTGCCCAATAGCAGCTATGTGAACTTTTCTATCAGTTGAACGAGAACAGGAAATGAATCAAACGATATACGAAGTATGATTCAAACACAAATCTAGCCAGTTAGCAGCACAATAGAGTCGATACAGCCAAATTATGCAAGCTACAAAAATTAAACAAGGGGAAGATAAACAAGTGTTTCTGCCCATCTGAAAAGTTAAGCAACAAATCCAACTATAAAGTGTCTCAGAATAAATTTCTCTCATGCCAAATAATACAACTATTCAACCTCAGCATCGGGTGTCTCAACTTCAGCTCGCTCTTTCTCAGCCTCAGCCACCTCCTTCTCGCTCTTACGTCCCTTCTTGGATTTGTAATATACACTCATGAAGGTTCCAACTGCTCCATATTTCCTTCTTGCTTTCTCATAAAGTGAGGCATCAAACATCCTCCAGAAGTCCTTCTCATTTAGCTCAGAGACAGCGTATTGTGGCTGGAATCCATGGTTTTCAATCAACCACTTCTCCATCTTACGGACAGCCTCAGCACCATCGAACACCTCACCACGCAGAATAGGTCCTGGTGCATAGTAGACACCAACATCAGTGAACATCTGAGCATACGAAGTGTCACCCTGTCTCTTATGCTGCTCAAAGCCTGGTTCAGGATATATCATAGTTTTGACGGGCAGCCTAAACAGACGGTGTGGGCAGAGCCAAAGAGGGTAAACCTACAGAGAAGCAGGCATTAAATTTCCAGTCAGCAGATGATTATAAAGAAGTTTAGAAAATCTCCAGGATAAACAAAGGAATAGAAATGATAGCAAAGGGCAAAGTGACTTTACCTCCATTTCACGATGTACCCATTCAAGAGCATCTCCAACCTTGTAAAGAGGAACAAGCATATCCTGAATCACATGGTTCTCATGGTAATAGTTTCTGATGGCTTCACCTTGAGTAGCTTTAAGAAGGGAAACCTTTGGTGGCATCAACCATCCAAGAAGGAATCTGAACCACGCTTGATCACCAAATGGAATGATAAGCTTTCCTTCCCAGTAAAGAGATCTTGTATGCCGGTGATAATATTCCCTGGTAGGAATGTACTCCACAAACTCCCCTCGTTCAAGGGCTGTCTGAGCATGCTGATAGAACCAGGGTTTAAACCACCATCCACAGCTATTGATCACATTTCCCTTCTTCTTAGCCTCTTCTTTGGAAGCATATCTACCTGTCATCATCACACCTTCAGAAGGATTGTATATCATGCCTTCCACAAAATCAGGGACCTTTTCGGGATTGTCTTGATCTCCATCTTTTGGAGCAAAAGAATCAATATAGCCCTGGGCAAGATCTTTCAAACTACCTTTCACAGGAGTGTATGTCAGC